CAGGAGCCTCTGGACTTGGAGCTGAAGGGTGAGAGGCTGCAGGGAGGGGAAGGCTGGGCTCTCTGGCAGGCTGGAGGGTGGTGGGAAAGAAATTTCATCCCAACTGTGTCCAGATGTGACTTTTTAAGCCATTGTTTTTTCCAATATTTGAGGTTGGTGAAGCTGCAGGGACCAGTCCATAGAATTGGTTTCATGTGATGTAAAGGAAACTACAGAATTCCATCACAAGAGTTGGCCAATCCTGATTAAATGCTCTCAGATCCTCCCTTAGCCTTTCTTCTCCACCTGGTTTTTGCCTCCAGCAGAAAAGCAGCAGGTGTGCTGAGCACCAGAAACAGATTTCCTTTTGTTTACAATTCCTATAAAGTACCAGAATCAGGAGTCTGGGAGCCCCATGTGGTGAATGCCAAATTTTGACTAAAATTGATGAACTGCGGCTGACTTCAGGCAATGCAGAGAGAGGCTGGACTGATGCATTAGCAGTCAGTGGTGCGATTCAACCTGTCTAACAACCAGTTCACTGAGCGGGCACTTTTGGTGGGTTAAAACAAAGCTTAAAAATTTACCTTCTACTGCTGTTGTGACCCGGCTCTGCAGGGCTAAAAAACAGGGAAATGTGGGTGAGTATAGGCCAGGGGCAGGGTGGGGTGAGCCAACCTGAAGGTTGGAGCAAACTGGTTCGCTCTCAGCTGATCTTTGGAGCTATCAGTTCTCTGGAACTTGGCTGAACCAGCTGAATCCCACCGGTGGTTTTAGTCATCAGAGACTAACATGGCTTTCCTGCTTTAAAGGCCAAAATGTTCAAGTTTAATTTTTATGCTGACATCCCAGGCAAAATAAAGCAGGCCATGGGAGCTGTAAGTGCCTCCACGGTTGCTAACAGCAGGGAGGTGACACGAGGCTGGATCCAGGTGGTCGTTACCGCCTCCCTTCGGGAGGGGTTCTTTCCCCACGCTCTAAAGGCGGCGGTGGTGAGACCCCTTCTGATGAAGCCATCTTTGGATCCAGCCGTGTTAAACAACTATCGTCCAGTCTCCAACCTCCCCTTTGTGAGGAAGGTTGTTGAGAAGGTGGCAGCCTTTCAGCTCCGGCGGTACTTGGAGGAAACCGATTATCTAGATCCCTTCCAGTCAGGATTTAGGCCGGGCTACAGCACGGAAACCGCTTTGGTCGCATTGATCGATGATCTCTGGAGAGCCAGGGATGGAGGTTATGCCTCCGTCCTAGTGCTCCTTGACCTCTCAGCGGCTTTCAATACCATTGACCATGGTATCCTTCTGAGATGACTGCGGGAGGTGGGGGTGGGAGGCACTGTCCTATGGTGGTTCTCCTCTTACCTCTCGGACAGGTCGCAGTCGGTG